TTCGGCAGCACATAGTCTCAGACTCACCTGAGCGACAGCATCCGCATAGCGTTGCAACAGTGGGGGACATCTCACAGGAAAGGGGATAGGGCCCGGTGCTTAAAGGGACGTACCTATGAACTCACGCGTACTAGATCAGCCCCCAGCAGAGATACCAACGTGAGGTTTCAGCAGAGGCGATGAGGATGCCCAAGAGGTCAATGCAGTGGAACAGAACAGAGCAAGACTTCGACGATATACGGAGGTCGTAGAAGGCAAAGGAGCGACGTGGCGACCGCACGCAATCGGAGACGCTCTCCCGCTCGAGCGCCCAGATTTAGGGCAGGCGTACAGAGACTTGGGAAGATACGAAGGCGGCCTTGCCTGACTCGAACGAGCCCAAAACATGTATTCCCTCAATACAAAGCATGTTACTATGTACACTTGCCACCTACGATGTCCTATGGACCCATTCACCATTCAAATTTCCAGAATCAAGGCCGACGACCTTGACGGGCGCTATTAGTTGGCATTAGTACTAATTTAGTTCTAAATAGCCCAGGGAGTTTTTCCTGATGAAGCGGTCCGACAGATGTACCGAGAATGATGCGGCCGAGCAGCGGTAATGATATACCAGGCTCCCTTCCCAGGACATTGGCCAGATGTTTGCCTTGGTTCAGCATGATGATATCGACGGTATATGATCAAAAACGTGACTAGCCTCGCCTGCCCATCCTGTGTGATGCTCCTCCAGCTTGGTGCGTCCAGACTGCCATTCTTTCTGAGACCCGACCGGAAGATCTAGTTCGGCCTCCCTGAAAAGACACATGTCCGCGCATGACAGAAGCCTCAATGACGTTATCTCAAGCATGCCCCTTTGGAAATGTGCTTTTTTCACCGCGAACTCAAGACTGTCCCATCCCCTTTATCAGACATTAGCAAACAGTGCCGTGAGACCCTGTGTACGTCTGTTAGGGAATGTCTGGCACCAGTAAACCTCTCATCTAGTCTATTCTCCTCCATCTTCTCGAACAGAGCTGGCATTGTTACGGTTCAAGACCCAGAAGGATTGTAGATGGCTCGAAATACAACTCACAACTACCGCCGGGTCGTCGATCGCTAATCAGCTTCGAGCGAGACACGATTGGATGGCGTAGTACCTTCCCATGACCAGTGCCAGATTAGTCAAGCCGTTCCGTGCCAAATGCGTCCGCCGGAGAGCCTCGCCGCTGCCCAGTCCGAGAACCACGGCTATGAGCCAACAGACTGCGATATACATGCCGAACCTGGAGTCAGTGCCTTGTAGGAGAGAGCCGCAGCGTAGCATTCACACATATACTCGAATTTGTCGCAGTGAGAACTACCGAGACTATCGTCACTACTATGTCGCTCACCTCTTTGCTGCCTCCCGGGTTATCGCTTCTTCAGGGTATAAAGCTCTTCGTTCAGCTGATCGGAGACACGACTGTAGTGAACAGGGCAGCAGGTCGGTATCGTATACCGCTATGAATCACTACCCTATGTAGCTCACAAGCGGGTCTGACAGCTGCTGCATCCACGTGGGTGGCTTACGACATATGCCTCACCTTGGGCGAGGAGGTATACGAAGCTTTGATTGCGTAGAATTGACGCTGTCTGACCACCTATGAATCTACCAGGTCGAGCTAGTTTGGAAGTGAGTAATCATTTCCTGTGAGTTCGGTCATATCACAATTGCGCTTCCCTATCCAGGGCACGGTGGTCTCTCCCGAAAACTTTATATTTTTGTGTAAGGTACTACGGTCTTGCATGTTCACTGTATGTTGTCCATCTTATGCCGTCGCTGCCACACATTCACCAGCCCCTCGCCCCAGATTGTATCTGGGAGGTAAGCTATACAGACACTTCCAGGATGACGATCACAAGGGCTCAACATGCTGTATCCGTTCAGTCAATTCCAGCGTTGATCCTCCTTTTGGAGTAAGCATAATCGGCCGCATGAACGATTGTGCAGCTCACTCTTACACAATCGCGACTCTACTTTAGATGTAAGCTTGCTGCTGTCGGTTCTATATGTATGAAGTACTCTCGACTAAAAGGCTCGTTTGCAGATGCCGCGGGTGGCCCTGGTTCGAGGCATTGTGCGTGGCCTTCGACTCCAAATTCGGACATCTTCTGAAAGGGGACATAACAGTGGAGCTGCTACCGCCGTAGCCGCATTGTTCGGCGAAGGCATGTTTGTCCTCCGACTCTGGGCTGCATACCGAGAGAACAAATACGGTCAATGGTCCCACACGCTGTACTCTGGTTCGGCGAGGGGACTGACTCGATTTATATATGTTGCCCGCAGTGCTGGCCCTTATCGCATTCTGCTTCACTGGTGGGTCATGAAGCATAGAAACCCGGGTGAAATGCTCACGAATGTACAGCGGAGCTTGCCGTGCGTCTATTTCTCGAGACGTCGAGGGTAATACTTAAGCCGGGACTACGCAGTCATCTATAACGGTGGGTATCATAGAGGCCCGCACGATCACGATCCTGCCGCGCCCAGCGGGCCTCCCCATACCTGGATGTTATACCCTCGCCAATGTACCTCTGCGGAACTCCCTTGGAGCATGGATCGTCAACTGTACCGTCGCAAGTCCGTTGTCGCCCTACTTTCTCCTCCGACAGTCAAGCTACTTACTGCATTAATCCTCTTCCCTAGCGACGTTTTTCGCCTTGATGCTATACAAATTCTTCACTGGCGAAGCCTTCAAATTCGAGTTGTCTGAGGCCACGCGCAACCCGCTCGCCAAATGGACCGAAGTGCGGCGGTTCAGCCCGCTGCTCTACCTGCTGCTCCGAGATGGGACTACATACTTTGCGATGTATGTGCCTACCTTCGTCGTTCTCGAATGCCTTTGGTGTTGACTGCGCATCTGATAGGATCTTCTGTAAGTCCCTATAACACTGCATAGCTAAGGAGGGTTCAATGAAATGTACCATCCATCGCCGCAGTGGTAAACGCGGTGAACATGGCACTTTCTATTCGTGAGGAAGGCCGAGCGCTTGAAGGGATGGGCGTCGCATGGACAATTGCCGTCTCGTCCGTCGCCGTAAGTGGATGTGGAGGATACGCTACCTACAGCGGGAGTTTGATGCTCACCACTGATATCTTATCTAAACAGTCTTCGCGCTTGCTGCTGAACCTGCGCGGATTCATCAGCGGGAACGACAACATGTCCGGGGGCAAGTCAGAACGGACGACCATGCGCTTCGAGGACAATCTCGCCACGTCGGAGACTTTGGGACAGGATGAGGATGTTGCGTGCTCCGGAGATATAGAAGAGTGTGCTAGGGAGTCGATGGCGTTCCGGGACATTATGCCTGATGTTCGTGCTTTATGTAGTATTGGAGTTTGGAATCGATCGAACATACCCATACCAGGTGGCGCCTTCGACTCCAGAGCTTGTTGTCCCAGTCGAAGAGGTCCATGTCGTTACTATAGATGCCCTCATGTCTAGCTCAGACACCGATGTTTCAAGAGGAAGTGTGAACTTACCTGTAATTTGATAGCTTAGTGACTGCGCACGCAATGAAACCTAGTCGCTCCGGCCTTGACGGTCTGTCTCGGGTGCCCCTCATTTCAGTGAATCACCGACCTACGTGCAGTCCCGAGAGTGCCGATAAGAGAAGAGCAATAATATCATACAATAGTCTACAGTAGCTCCCAAAACGAGCATCCCATTAGCGTGTGCATAGCATGACCAACGACTCAACATCACGAGTGGAAAAGGCGACCCACAACGCCCGAATCGATCCCCTTCCTCGCCCGAGCCTCCTCAACGTAGCCCTGCATCAGCCCCACAACCTTCCTCAAGTTGAGACTGAACTTCGCCGACACAGGGACGACGTCCAACGTCCTCGTCTCCCTGCTGCCCACGGGGCTGCCCTTCGCATCAAGCACAGGCACCCTCATCTCCTCCCTCACATACCTTTCCAACCTTCCCAATTTTGCCTTCGCCTCTTCCACCTCTTTCGTGGACGCGCCCTCCCCGCCAAGCAAGTCTGCCTTGTTAGCGACCACAATCCGCGCGTTCGCGCTCATCCCCGGCTTGTACCTCTCCAGCTCCTCCCGCAGCACCCTCAGCTCGTCCCACGGCGCCTCCCCAGAGAGGTCGACGACGTACGCAAGCGCGTGCGACCGCTCGATCGAGCGCAGGAATGAATGCCCCAAGCCGACGTCCGCCGACGCGTCCTCGATGAGGCCCGGGTTGTCCGCGACAGTGAACCGGAACACCTCCATCGACTCGTACGGGTCCGTCTCCCCTCCCTCCTCTCTCGCTCCGTCCTGCATCGCGCGCCGCTGGTTGCGCGTAAGCGCGTCCGCGAGCTCCCCTCCGGCCATTAGCTCGCGCTCACGCGCCTCCTCGATGGACGTCTCGTCATGTACCACGCTCTCCGTGGGGCTGTCAAACGCAAACGAGCCATCGGCGGCGACACGCACAACCCCTACGACTGGGTTCAGCGTCGTGAACGCGTACCCAGCCACTTCCGTGCGGGCGCGGCCCCCGGTGAGGGCACGGAGGAGGGTGCTCTTGCCCGCGTTGGGCATCCCGACGAGCCCGACGTCCGCGAGGAGCTTCAGCTCGAGCGCAAGCGAGACGCGCTCCCCCGGGTAGCCGCGTGTGGCCCACTTCGGAGAGCGATTCGTAGGGGAGAGGAATGCGGGGTTGCCTACTCCCCCTGCGCCGCCCTGCGCGACGAGGTGGCCCATGGGCTCGACGCGGCGGTGGCCTAATGGTGCGTTCGGGTCTTCGGCCTCGGCCGTCTCTTCTGGCTTGTCGAGGTCGAGGAAGATCGGGTTCTCTGCGCGCATGCGCCGCGCTCGCCGTCGTTCGCGCTCTTGCTGGAAGAGCACGCGCTCGGCGTGCTTGAAGTCCTCGCGCTGCGCGTTGTCCTCCGCCCACTCCGGGTAGTGCACCCACCGCCGCTCACGCATCTTGTCCCTGCGCTCCTGCGGCTTCAAGCCTTGCAAATCCTCCGCCTCCGCCTCGTACTCGTCCTTGTGTCTCCTCGGGTCGTCGCGGGGGAGCTCGCGGACAATCGTTCCTAGAGGGACGCGGACGATGAGTGGGGGCGCGTTCCTGCCATTTTGCCATGTGCCTTGGCCTGAGCCGCCGTGAGGGGCGCGAATGCGGTTCGGGACAGAGGAGAGGGTGGTGAGATGGGGGGTGGGGAGGATGTAGACGTCGGCGCCGCGGCCGCCATTGCCACCCGAGGGCGGGCCGTAAGGCTTGAAGAGTTCGCGGTGGAAGGCGACGCAACCGTTTCCGCCGTTGCCAGCGCGAATGTGGATTATGGTGTGGTCAAGGAAGCTTTGACCCTGTGAGGAAACGTGTTGTGTGAGTTTTGCTGTGGGTTGAACAAAATCGTAGAATGAAAATTGGCTGGACGAAGAATGGGAGGAGTCCGATACGGCTCGTATAGGCTGGGTGTTCCAGCCTACGATGACCGAACAATGCCCCGAGATACGACGAGTGCTCCTGAACCTGTCAAGGGCCTCGCTAGCCGTACTCTGGTTTGCTCGACAACTCTGCAGCTTCCTCCCCCATGCCTGGTTTCGAAGTGCTGCTTTCGCTTCTGCCATAGACGCATATTACGATGCACACATAGTCAGTCGTAGATCTTCTGCATAGATCAGCAAGCGTATGGCGGCAGGGGCTCTTGGGACAAGCCACCAGAGGACTAGCGGAGGCTCCATCTGTGTGTGTCTGGTCTTCTCCCTACCTGTTGTGACCTCGCAATGGAGCATTTCGTGTATTGTCTGGTTACAATGCTGGAGAACGAAGAGGGGATACTCACGTTTTGCCTACGTTTCCAGTCCGTCCTCCGTTTCCGTCGTAGCTCATCCTGAGCTGCTGGTGATCGCGAAGGCGACTCTGCCAATTTTGAAGGGCCTGCCTCAGGGATGGCCGCTGTCGTATAGCATCTTCCGGCAAATATGGTGACGCTGTGGGCCCTGAGAGGCTTCAAGAACGGCGTGCAGCGCATGCAGTCTGTGCAAGGACAAGCGAGAGCACTGAGCAGACGGCGGCTACGAAGCGCGGGTGATGCGTGTGAACGAAAAGGCCTGCCCTGAAGCTCATTGAGACGCGTCGAAACGCGTCGCGTCTCCGTCTTGTCTCTGTTCTCCACCGCCTCCTCATCTGCCCCGATGTCGTCGCCACCACGCGATATACCCTCCTCTGACCTCGAAGATGTCGAAATGCAAGTCGATGGAGACAGCGTAGAGCAATCAATGCCCAACGCCCCTCCGCGAGGCCCACTGTTCCTCGAAGGCACCCCTTCAGCCGCAGGTACCCCACAGCATAGCACAGTAGCGAGAAGGGCGTTGGGGATGAGTACTCCTAGGAGACAGCAGACACCTCTCTTTGCTCGTAGGTCGCGTGTCTTGCTACCAGTGATCTCACCCATCTGACTATCTGCCTAAGCCGGCACCTCGTCGCCCCTACCCTTCCCCAGCTCTTCTCCGACAAAGAGGACTCCTGTACGCGTCAGAAGGCTAGACTCAGACCTTCCTGGCTCCCAAGGCTCCGAACCACTTGCATTTCCCTCGTATGTCGCGTCTTTCCTCTGCAAATGGCCTGTTCTGCTCCAGATACATGGAGATTCGTCCTTGGATAGTCCCTGTCCCCTATCCACGATATTTACTGAGATATGTCTTGTAGAAGCCCAGCCCAAGATCATACACCGAAAACCCCACCAAAGAACCGTCGAGGCGACATACATTCATCCATCAGTTTCACCCCAACATCCTCCCGTTCCCGCACAAGACGCAAGGAAGGCCCGTCTGACGACCTGCATTCGGACGCCTCACACCTCTCCCTTCCAGCCTCTTCCACTTTCAATCTCTCCGTCCCTATTGTACCCTCTGAGGATGACGACGACACAGGCGCGGTCAAGGCGATCTGGGGCACGAACGTCTCGGTGCAAGAGACCATGCGTACGTTCCGCGAGTTTATGCGCGGCTTCAAGATCAAGTACCGTATCGCCCACGACCGCGAGCGCGGTATCCGGACGCGTGTCCTCTCGTCTCCCGAGGAAGGCGAGGTGCTTCTGTACGAGTCATACATTCGTCGTATGCGACAGACGGGCGAGAGGAATTTGAACCTCGACATCCACAACCTCGCCGCGTACCCTCCAAGCAAGAAGCTTCAGAACCATTTGATCAAATTCCCTCAGGAGGTCATCCCCATAATGGACCAGGTCCTCAAGGACATCATGCTGGAGATCGCTGAAGAGGACCAGCAAGCAGGGGTAGAAGACATGCGCGGTGGACGCGGAGAGGCCGAAATCAAGACGATCATGGAAACTGTCTACAAAGTGCGGCCGTTCGGCGTCCCGTCTGTCAACATGCGCGACCTGAACCCCTCTGGTGAGCCCTCCACCCTTCCTGTCTCCCAGTCTGCCAACTGTCCTTACTAATGCGTCCCCTCTAACAGACACCGACAAACTCGTGTGCATCAAAGGCCTCGTCATCCGCGCGACTCCTGTCATCCCGGACATGAAAGTCGCCTTCTTCCGCTGCCTGACCTGCAACCACACAGTCCAGGTCGAGATCGAGCGCGGCAAGATCGACGAGCCCGCGCGCTGCCCGCGCGACGTCTGCGGCACGCCCGGCTCCATGTCCCTCGTCCATAATCGCTGCGAGTTCGCCGACCGCCAGGTGATCCGCCTCCAGGAGACCCCCGACGCGGTGCCGGACGGGCAGACGCCGCACACGGTCTCGCTGAGCGTGTACGACGAGCTCGTGGACGTGACGAAGCCCGGCGACCGGCTCGTCGTCACGGGCATCTTCCGCTCCATGGCGGTGCGCGTGAACCCGCGCCAGCGTACGCTCAAGAGCCTCTTCAGGACGTTCATCGATGTCGTGCACGTCAAGCTTGGGCTCGACGACCGGCTCGGGTTCGACAGGAGCACGCGCCCCGCGGGGGGCGACCGTATCCCTGGGGTCGGCGGCGTGGGCGGTGGCGCAGACGTCGACGACGAAGAGGAGAATCCGGTGGAGAGGCAGCGGCGGACGACGAAGCGCGAGGAGCTCGAGGCGAAGCTGCGCGAGCTGAGCCAGCGGCCGGACATATATGAGTTGCTCGCGCGGTCGCTCGCCCCGAGCATTTATGCGATGGAGGACGTGAAGAAGGGGATACTGTTGCAGCTGTTTGGGGGGACGAACAAGAGCGTGGCCAGGGGCGGCGGCGGAGGCGGGCCGAGGTACCGGGGGGATATCAACGTGCTACTTGTGGGTGACCCTGGTGTGAGTAAGTCGCAGATTCTGCAGGTGTGTCTTTCTGTATTGTCGCGTTTGGTGAGGTACATGCTGATCACGACCTACAGTACGTGCATAAGATCGCTCCCCGAGGCGTGTTCACGTCTGGCAAGGGCTCGTCTGCAGTGGGTCTAACGGCGTATGTCACTCGCGATCCGGATTCGAAACAACTGGTACTCGAGAGGTAGGTCTCGGCTTCGTTCTTGGACACAGTCACCCGCTCATATGCCATTTCAGCGGTGCCCTTGTTTTGAGTGATGGTGGTGTCTGCTGTATCGATGAGTTTGACAAGATGTCCGACGCGACTCGTAGCGTCTTGCACGAAGTTATGGTGAGTGACTGACAGGTCCTCAATATCGTCTCCCAGGGTTATTAATGAGGTGTCACAGGAACAACAAACGGTGTCCATCGCCAAGGCGGGAATCATCACGACGCTGAACGCTCGTACTTCCATCCTCGCAGCGGCAAACCCCATTGGCTCAAAATACAACCCGAACCAAACGGTGACGCAAAACATCGACCTCCCACCAACGCTCATATCCCGTTTCGACCTGCTCTACCTCGTGCTGGACCACGCAGACGAGGCGCTCGATCGCAAGCTCGCTCAGCATCTCGTCGCATTGTATCTCGAGGATGCCCCCATGACCGGTGGCGGTGAAGACATTTTGGTGTGTCACACTGTCATATAGCACACGCGCCTTACTGACGTGCCTTTCCAGCCTCTCGAAGAGCTCTCCGCCTATATCACCTACGCTCGTTCCCGCCTCAACCCCGTCATTACCGAAGCAGCGGGCGACGAGCTCGTCCGGTGCTACGTGACGCTCCGCAAGGCGGGCGAGGACCCTCGCTCGAACGAGAAGCGCATCACAGCGACGACGCGGCAGCTCGAGAGCATGATCCGCCTCTCGGAGGCGCACGCGCGTATGCGCCTCTCCACATTCGTCGAGCTCGCCGACGTCAAGGAGGCGTTCCGCCTCATGCGCGAGGCGATCAACACCTCCGCGCGCGACCCGACCACGGGCGAGATCGACATGGGCCTGCTCGATACCGGCATCGGGAGGCAGCAGCGGAAACTGCGCGGGGACATGCGCAGGGCGGTGCTTGCGCTCCTGGACGGGGCCGGGGCTGGCGTTGGGGGCACCAGGGGCCTGCGGTGGGCGGACGCGATAGGGCAGTTGGAGGCGCAGAGCAGTGTGAAGGTGAACGCTGCGGAGTTCCAGGAGGTGATTAGGGAGTTGGAGCAAGAGGGGCTGGTGAAAGTCACGGGTGAGAGGGATCGGAGGATGATCAAGAGAGTCGAAGGCGCATGAGGAAGAGTAGAGGGCCCTTTTGACAAGGTTTTTTTCTCCGCTGCGTTGTGTGCTTTCATTGTACTATGGGCTTTGCAGACTGCTGGTGCTATCGACATGTTGTTCTCGCCCTTGTGCGAGTGGAAGTCATCGTCGTGCACACCGTTCGTAAACCTCCGCATGCGAAGTACAGTGCACTGTTGATCAGTTGTAATGACATTATTTCATCAGAATACAAGTAGTCGTAAGGAGTCGCCAATGAGGAGTCTCAAATGTTGTACAAGTCAAAGCAACCGAACATATAGTGAAAGAGTGTAGGACTGCAATACTTCGCTGCGAGCATCCCGATGGTGCGAGTGTTTTCCATGAAACCATATGAACGTACATCGTGACACGAGCTATCCGAAGGCCGATTGCTTGATGACCTTCAGTAATCCTCGTGCGTGCAGATTTGGCAACGCCTTCTGCACCCCGACTACAACGTGCTGCCAATGGTATTTGCGGTCCGCCTCCAGATATCTGTCCAGGAGGATGCACAAGTTCACCTCCTTCATGTCAGGGAAGCGGTCGTACGTGATGACCTTATCGAACTCCTGCAACCGCAACATCCGCCTGTTGTTCAGCGTTGTCACCCTAGGCAGGTAGTTCAAACGGATCGTAACATGGCGTAGGGTGCGTGGTGCCTGGGAAAGCATACCGGCGCCGGCGAGGCTGTACGCCGGGACGTCCTGAGGCTTTTCGTCATAGCGGAGGTAGATTTCTATTTCGATAGATCTGAGTTTTGAGCAGGAGGCGAGGCCGAGGCTTCGCCAATGGCCTACAAGTCGGATTGTCAGGTCACACATAGGAGTGCAGCTCAAAACATCGACATACTGTTCAGTGGGTCTACCCAGTGCCAGGGCTTTCGTTCGGATAGCATGAACGGATGGATCCCGCTGATACTCAGACTCGTCAAAGCCTTCCCTGCGCGTGCAAGGAGTTTGCCAAGGGCGAGCACCTCGGGACCAGTCCCGTATTCAATCCGAAGAGATTCCAGGGATTCCGGTTCGAGGCTTTCCGTGAACGCGTCTAGAAGCAAGCTCGTGCCGCTGTTTTCGTCTGGACTGCAGTGCGATATCCGAAGCTTCTTGATCTCCAGCGGACGGTGGAGGAATGCGAGATCGAATGGCGAGGTGGTGTCGAAATCGCGCACGGAATAGCTCAGAGCGTCGATGGAAAACAGAGACAGGATGCGGAACAGGCCAGAGATGGAAGAGTTGTGGGAGAGGGTGTAGTAGAAATCGAACGAGAACGATTGAAGACGGAATGGCCCGGGTTTGTCCTGCTGTACATGTGGGGGCGATCGTGAAGCGGGGGTGTCGTACATCATGCTGTTGATATCCAACGATGTGAGATTTGGAAGCAGCTGCATGAGTGTGGCTACCACGGTATCGTCGATGGAGGTAAGGGCAATGTGTGGAACTTTCCCGATTTCAGTCTGCCCGCTCAACTCGAGGCGACGAATCTTCTCGCGGATATTTGGAGCCGCCCTTAAGAAGGATATGAGGTGGTCAAATGAGCGAATATCCCGGACTTTCAACCTTGTATTGAAGTAATGCTCGAGCGACACGGCGCGGAGACAGTGGCACGCGAGCGTGCATGCCCGCAGCGTCCAGCGGGAGGACTTGACATGAGATACAATCATGCACAAAAGTTCCACAGGCAGATCGCATATTGTGCGATACTTGCTGGGACGTGCGAGGGTGGGCGGCGGACGGCGGCGGTTGCGCCGATAATGGTGGTTGGAGGGAGACATGTTGGCGCCTAATTGATTGACGTTCAGCTCCCTTCTCTGCTAGGCGAGATCCGAGGTGCAGCATAGACATGCACTCGGGCGCAGAGACTTTCAAACTTGGGTTCCGAAGGGGACCAAGCTTGATATGCAATCAGATTGCGTGGACGCCCAGAACTGTCAATTTGCGTTGGGCTTCCAAGGCTGAGTATCGCTGCGTGATAATGACCCGGATCCCGGCTAGTACGCTTTGCACCATAACGATCTATGTTGGGTGGTCTTAGCTAATACACACCACCAGCGTAGAATCCAGTTCTGACAAGATGAGAGCTTATATGCGATTTCTAATCACATACACTACGACTTGCTCACCTGCTTCGATGGTGCCTAGCTCTGTCCGCTCCAACATGTGCAATCCAGGAGCACGAGATACCGCATCTTCAAGCAAAGTTGGTGTAAGATTTTGGAATGCCAGAAAGTCAGAGAATCCAAGATACCTTCGCATCCTTGAACAGGGGATAGGCTAGTACTGGCATCGGCGCTGTGCAGTTGCGACATGATGCGTACATGTGCGCAACGCGGGGAAGAAGGTCATATCCTACGGAACATCTGAAGAGATCTAGGATAGAACAACGAGTTATGTAGAGTACTCCAAATAATGGATATATAGTAGTATGGGATACTCTGGGTCGAGAGCGTTCACGACGGGCGCCTTTCCGGTAATTGGACTCCAGCGGCTGCGGTCCGAATATTAATCACAACGACTGCTGCCACGAACCGCTACCACGGCAATGACCGGTCATCCGTTGTCTGAAAGACACGATATCTGACTTGTCCGCGCGCTGCAACACTGAACGACATTGGCAGCTTATTTAATCCCTGTCTCATTCAATATCCCTCTGACGAAATCAGAATGTACCTAGGGCGCTGCCTTGCGGCCCGGGGCAGGGCATGAAATCAAACTCGGGAGAATGGCTCGCGTCATGCAGCTAATATGTGCAGTGTGGCATGCGCATCAAGGCACTGGCGCACGGTACGATATGTACGTTTTCTGTTCCCTATCTGAACCCCTCAGGTCGTCGAGCTCACATCTTTGGCCTCGTCCATGTATTGTAGGCTCAGAACCGCCATCTCGCTGTTGCCTGGGTCGCCCCGCTCTATCTCTGCACCTCCTGGTCGTGTTCATCGTTTGTCACTACGCCTGTTCTCAGTGCACTCTTCGACTCTTCTATTCACCTGGATCCGTATCTCACCATCGTGATGGCGCTGGCCTCATCTTCGTCAGCGTGCCGGCAGGTGAGTTCCTTTCTCAAGGTTCCCTCGACCGAATGACTAATGCTTGTGCAGCGGGATCCGGTCGAAAACTGTGCCATCGAGGCCAGAGCATGTTGCTTGAAGCTAATGTGCGGTATCACTATAAAAGTGCAGCAAATAATATCGTGAGGTGATTTCAGCACGTCTAGAACAGTTAGACAATTAGTAGTTGATACGAACAGGCCCTTCCGATCCAGTGGTTTGCGCCAGTCAGCTTCTGTTTCGATGCCGCCTCACGGTGGCCTATCCCGGTGTCAGTATGTCTCACGTTTACAGAGACTCCGGGTACCGAACAGTGGGAAACCTTGGCGAGGGAGGTTCGGTCGCTAGGGGGGCGCTGGACGGCATACACGCCTCCCCAGGTGAAGAGACGAACAGCCGAGAATCCACGCTTCGAAGAAGCACCGAGAGCACGCCCAAGACCATTACAGATCAGGCGCACACAAACCCCTTGGGGACAGTGTTTTTGACCTGGAAACCCGCCTCCATTACGGCCACAGCCGTAGCCGACCCGCGCTCCCATGGACGCGGCAGGCGCGTAGTCGAGACACCTCGGCATAGGTTCGTTCGTCCCGAACTTCATTACCCATAAATTTTTAGACTGACAATTGTGCAGGGTTCAAGGCCTGAACCGCAATGTACCTGGCGAGCGTCGTCTGGGTCCCCCTGATATTTTCACATTCTTGTGAACGCGACACAACGCCCGTCAGCTCCAGCCCGGTACCCCGTTCAGGACTCTCACCGAAAGCGTTGGGACGAGAGGTATAAAAGACAGCTAGTCTTCAGCCAACATCTTCAGGACATCGAGTTCTCTCCACTCGCTCTCCCCTCCGGCCTCCGCCCTCTACTCGGCAGTACATCGCTCCTCGGAACCAGCAATGGCATTCAAGCTTTTGTCTATCGTCTCCCTCGTCGCTCTCGCCACTGTTGCCAGTGCCGCCCCGAGCCGGACGGTGTGCTCTGACGGGACTGTGGTCCCTGACTCGGTGTGCTGCGAATTTTTACCCGTCAGTAATGGTTCCACCGCGCCGTCACATAATGGGGACTGATCATTCGGCAATACAGCTCGCAGAAGCTCTCCAGACGCAGGTCCTTATGGGCGACTGCGGAGAAGACAGTATGTCATCTACTTGCGTTGCCGACGATCATGAACTGACCGGTCTTCATTCCAGCTCACGAGCTCCTCCGTCTCACATTCCGTAAGCCACACATCGGCTATACGTTCACGGCATACTGACCGTACATTGCAGACGATGCCATTGCCATCTCCCGCAGCAATGCTTCGGCGTGAGTCTTAATTCACGATTTTCTACAGATTTGGTGCTGACTATAGCTTGTGCGTAGTGGTGGTGGAGCCGACGGTTCGATGCTCATCTTCCCGACCGTCGAGCCTGCCTTCTTCGCTAACCTCGGTATCGCCGACTCCGTCAACAACCTCATCCCCTTCCTGTCGCAGTTCCCCAGCATCTCCGCCGGTGACCTCGTCCAGTTTGCAGGTGCTGTCGCCATCACCAACTGCCCTGTATGCACATACTACTTTCCTCAGACTGCTCTTGTTCGAGTGCTCATACTTCGCGTTCCGACAGGGTGCACCGCAACTCGAGTTCCTTGCTGGTCGTCCCAATGCGACCGCCCCCGCCATCGATGGTCTGATTCCCGAGCCCCAGGACAATATTACGAAGATTCTGGCGCGGTTCGACGATGCCGGAGGGTTCACGCCGTTCGAGGTCGTCTCCCTTCTCGCTTCGCACACGATCGCTCGTGCCGACCATGTCGACCCGACTCTCGACGCCGCGCCCTTCGACAGTGTAAGTTGCGCCCCCTCCCTCGTTCACAGCGCCCGCTCACCAGAACCCCCGTGCCACAGACTCCCTTCACCTTCGACACCCAGATCTTCCTCGATGTGCTCCTCAAGGGTGTCGGCTTCCCTGGGCTGAACAACAACACTGGCGAGGTCTCCTCCCCGCTCCCCCTTTCGAACGGCACCGACGTCGGCGAGCTCCGTCTCCAGTCCGACTTCGGCCTCGCCCACGACCCGCGCACGGCTTGCTTCTGGCAGGGCTTCGTCAATGAGCAGGAGTTCATGGCGCAGTCGTTCAAGGCCGCGATGGCGAAGCTCGCTGTGCTCGGCCACAACGCGGACGACCTCGTCGACTGTTCTGCTGTCGTACCGAAGCCTAAGCTCGCGGTTGCCGTGTCCGCGGCGTTCCCGGCGACCAAGGGCCCGGACGACCTCGAGCTGTCGTGCAACACCTCGCGGTTCCCCAACCTGCCTATCGATCGTGAGTCGCTTTCTTTAGTCCGTGGATCTGTTAGTCAAATAAGCTGAACGCAACCGTGTTTTCCAGATGGCACCCAGGAGGCCCTCATCCCGCACTGCTCGGACGGCAGCATGAGCTGCACCACCGTTCAGTTCGACGGCCCGGCGCTCAGCTTCGGTGACAATAACAGCTCTTGATCGACGACTTGAGTGTAAATGGGTTTTCTTTTCTTCTTCTTCCACTGTTGCCTAGATCTAGGCTGCAGTGATATCGGTGTAATTTTGTACGTGTCCTGATGATGGAAGGTGGTGAATGATTATGATGTTATAGACGAAACGAGGCTATGTTACGAGGGTCCAAACTGGTGCGATGTGACATGGTGTTCTCGTGCTCAAGCCTGTGATCACACCAGCGCGATCACTAACTAGTGCACACGTACTAGATAAATCATCGGACGCACAGGTTCTATCTGCAGTCGCCCTTGTACCCCCCGGAAGATCCCTATGTCTGCTTCTCCCTTCAGCCTACGGTCGCTCATGTAACTGATGGGTCAATCTGGATACCACGTCTTTTGGATCTCTCTTGTACGCTGCAACGTGACTCGAACGCCTACACAGGGGCCGTCACGCCAAAAGGCAGGATGAGAGTCCGTGCTTCCGCTGACCGGCCGGCATGTACCCATTTCCAGGATGTTTCGCGCTACGAGTGACCGCCGTCCTTATGGCCGGAAGGTCTCGCAAACCAGAGCGCACGCACGCCGTGTCTGATATGATAGGATATAGAAACACAGTGTGTTATCATCGCGAGAGTCTTTCACCCTCGGGAAACTCGATGGGCCATGCCACCCCGAACATAAAATTGGGCCAATCTCGAAAAGCAGTCATGATGAAGAGCAAGGGGGGGGGCACGAACTTCATTCGAGACAAGGGAGATGATTCGAGGCATGGTCGACTCAACCTTGTACGTAATACATGTGCAAGAGAACTTCGAGGTAATCACTACTTGTGACGTACGTTGACATGGAGGACAAAAGAGCCAAGAGCCCGGGAGACACGTCAGTGACAAGCTTCGAGAGAGATATGCCCAGATCCACGGGCGTCGATATGTACGGAACAGGCAGCTACGAGTGTATGTCGAGAACAGAGTCGGCGGAAGGAAACGGTTTGTTGTCCCCTCTTTCGAATTCGAATGATCTGCCCTTCAGAGTCTCCCCATCATCGATGTCAGAACGGCTGATCGCCCGTCCAAGTACGACGTGTGCTTCCTCGGCAACTACCAGTGGGCTGGGGAGTATAGTGCCACGACCGAACACAACGGTACTCGTACTCGTAGTGGTTAGTGGAAGACCTCTTGGATAATCAACGAGAATACCGCGCTCCAGTGGTGATCGGTTCACGGCAACAAGCACGATGATGATTGTAGGATATATGGCCTATCAAGTGGAGTGAGTATTTCTCACGCAACATCGAAAGACTCCGGTGAACTCTTACCACCATTGGTGTGAGGGCGCCATAGACAAAATAGTACCCAACAGTATGGTACTCAAGAGTGTTCGCCAGGCTTGCAGGGTCCATGAGGGACACCAAAACCAGAATCTGTCCGGATTTCAGCTGTCAGGAAATGCACGACACTATAGAATGCAGCGAGTCTTACTAGGAGGGCACAGTAAATGGTTCCAGATTCCACAAGGAGCGCAAGGGCCTTCAGCACGCGCGTCTTGGCATGGAAGTATTTCTTGAGAGATAGCCTATGCATCCTGTAGAGACGCCAGTGTGAGATCCCAACTGGCTTGATATGGCTGGAAACTGACCATGCTTTGCATGCGATCAGAATGGTTGCCGTTGTATTCGTAACGCAAGATAATATCACCGCCGCATTTGTGAATCCGTCCGTACCCCACCAGAAAAAGATTTGGTCAGGAGTCGCAGGCGATGCTGTTACGCTGCCAATGATGCCGAGCGCTGTTGGACAGGTAAGATGCAGACCATAGAAACAGTGGGCACAGTAACTAGTACAGACCTAGAGTCATAGTCACAAGGATTGGGCCGACCCAGTAAACCACCCTGTTCTGCCAGATGACAGCTGCTCGCCACCACACTATAGCATCTCCAATCACAATCTGAAGCCAAGAAAGAATCAGTCAGCCAGTCAGCTGTCATACCACATCCATCGTGACACTCACATTGACACCAAGTGGAACCGTTACCATCCACGATTGTCTGTATGCGGCGGCTTTCAGTGCAGCGAGGCTATCATGACCATTGTAGCTATCTGAGTATAGGCCGTTGTTTGCCTCACGGATGATACGCTGCACACTTGTCCAGCTCCAGATGATCGCAGACATATAGATCATAGTAGACGCATAGATCATCAGAATGCTGAGTAGAAGAATCCTAGATGATTTCCGGCTGAGAGAGCCCTGACCGCTAATATATGAACATAGCCTCAACAACCAGTTTATGTAACGGAAAGGCGATACCCACATGAGCAGGGATACAGACGCAATAACCAGTATTGTCAAGGCGCCTGTTGGTGTATCTAGACGTGCACGTGAAGAAAACAGTATGTGTGCGACTGACCGAAAAGTAGGCTGGAAAGTGAATACTGGAGGACATTTGTTGTTGCGTTGAACGAAAAGTGTTGAAGAAGCCCCAGGGCATACGTGTTCAGCTGGGCGGTCGGGGCGACCTGCTCCTCTGGAGCAGTAGTAGAATACGTGGGAGGCATGCTCCGGAGCAGCACAGAAACAAGACCACAGGCGTAGACTATATGTTATCATCTCGCCTGATCATCAGCGGCGTAAGATCCGCCGGCTTGAAACCGCTGACTTTAGCTCAATGACGTGAACGCCGCATGTTATCCCGTCCGTCTATTCCATGACTTGCTCACAACGAGCTGTCAAAACCTGTCGACGGCGACTGATGGTCACCATGAAGGGCGATGAGGGATCTGAGTTGTCAGCTGCGGGGTACAGTCGTTTGCATATCAAACTGCAGTCGACGCGCGCGCCGCGGGGCTGTTTGCCCGTGTTTGCAACGCCGTGAGCGAGCGTCTCTCTGCCTGTTTGGGACCGGCCTCCGTCGACCCACTGTGGCCATCAAGTACAAAAAGCTTCTCCTGCATTGAAAGCCAACCAGCCATTGCTAAGGGCCATATTGTATGTACTATCAACCCACTACGACATTTTTGAGGGATTTTATCCGTTTTCATTGAGGGTGCACCCACCGGAGTGGCCGTTCTAGCCGGTACCCGACGGCGGAGCAAATACGAGCAAACAGGCTCGACGCGCGCACGACACTGCAGTTTGATATGCAAACGACTGTAATCACAACAAACTTAGCATGTCTAATACATCCGCCAATATCAACTTCGTTGTAAGCTACATAACCTGCTAGAAGTCTAAAAGTGATCTGATTATCATCATGTTGAGAACGATATATCGTTGGCCAAGGACACAACATGGAAGCGATCCCTGACGGATGCGTTAGGAAGGGCAATTGACTTCGTGGCATAAGACCTCTGGTTTGCCCGCCCTTCTCGACGTTAGGTGAGGTGTGTTAGTCACTGGAACGTGGTGGCAGCTTCCCTCCGAAACATATGGGAAACCTACTCAAAAAGGTAGAAGCTGTGCATTGTCGCTTCCCCGAATCGCGATACATATCCACTCCGGGTCTCGTGGCGTCTCCGTGACGCAATTTTAACCACCTTTCATCACTGCCCCAGATCTTTGCTATGTAGAAGGGTACAGGCTTCTCAGCGGCGAAGGAGTTGCGTGGGAGGGTCTGGTCGATCTTGCGGTGCATATGAACTGTATGTGGGGCCGCACCGACACAGAATCAGGCTGTGCAGGATTCGGCGGACACCGAGTGCGCGGAATCCCATGTGCCGAGGCTCGGTGATATTACTGGCTTAATCGGAGGGGTACATGTACCTGTCAGGACTCCGTTTTACAATGAGCCACGCATCCAATCAGAAATCGGAGACGGGGCATACTGATATGTAGGACGCGCCAAACATTTGCATGGGACGCCAGGAGATAGCAAATAGCATTGGCAGAAATCGGAGCTCTTCCGGCATCACCAATCACTTCGTGATGCGTGAATACCTTGAATTGGGCGACTTTGAATTCGCCTGCCTCAGGCAACGCCATGAGCCTGCTCCTGTGGGATTCCGAAGAAATGCTCTCGCCTTCTAATGGCGAATCTGTGACCCGGAGCATCAACGGACGTGATCGAGGGAAAGACGACATCGAAAGGAACCGTACTCAAGAGTGTTGGTCAAAGCTTACGTAGACGTATGTCACTTGTGGGTACCGCACGATTGCCGAGATGTGCGTTGAGGATCCCTCCAATTCCCAGCCGTCCGCGAGGCCGAAGGAAGTTGGAAAGGGGCGACTGCCAGTGCGATGAAGCAATGTCTTGGATGGGGCGAGAGCTCGTGTCCAAAACCTCGGTCGGAAGCCGGACTCCACACACTTATGTATACGAGCGAATGGTAGCAGGGATGATGATCTGCCCAGGTGCCCCTGAATGTTGAGAACGTCCCGGAAGCAAACATGTAGTCCGAGCGACCCCGCGAGTGATAAATGGCTAGGGCGCAGGCTTGGATAGTATGATAGGTTTCAACATGCCTGCGACGGTATCGTCGTCAAAGACCCTGTTACAGAGTGTTGCTGCGACACTGCCGTGTTGCATAGGCCAGCCGTGGATAGGTGATAAGAGGCGGGAGAGGTACGAGGCCGAGGAATTCGTTATGAGCCATACATAGATATGCACCCCAGGTCGACTCCCACGGTTGTCTATCTGTCAATGCGTCCGCCTATGTCTCCTTCGCGTTGCAGCACCGCCGTTTCGGCGTCCGCAGTGGCCTTCGAAATTCGGGATGAAGACGCACTTCGATTGGCTGGACATTCTACAATATACAATGCCTGCCTGTACATTGATCGAAAGTACTGCTCTCGAACAACGAAGAGGCGGACGTGCACATACCGCAAGAATCACAGACCTCGCAATCAAGCCGTATTGTGTCGGGAGCGTCGACATCATGCCTGTCGCGGCCGGCAAGGGCTGTCCACCGAAGCGCTAGGCCCGACGCACGTGGCGGATGCCGCGTCTCATCCATCCCGGGGTGGTGTGCAGCTAGCACAGGCCTAGGAGGTGCACTCCGCGAGAGATACATCCGACGGTTGATGCGTGGTGCACCAGCAGTCCTAGATCGCCAGCCCGCTCCTGTCTCACCCTTGCGGAGGAGCACCTCGCCCTCGACCCCGGCCCCTGCCTCTACCGCGACCCCGCCCTCCGCCAGGAGTGCCAGGATCTCCGCCATCAGTCGCACCCAGGGCTACAGACGCAGCAGACGCAGGGGCTGAGCCCTCGCTCGTTGTCTGTCCCTGAGCAGGACGGGCCAATATCTTTGGCGGGGCCGCATCGCGCTGCAGGATCCCGGTCGGGACGCCGCCACCGCGGGGACCACGCTCGCGTTTTTCCTCCTTCTGCCTGGGCGCAGGAGGCGCTTCCGCGACAACTGTGGAGCTGGTCGTCGATGCCACGGCACCATCCTTGTCCTTGTCCTTGTCTTTGTCGCGTTCGCGACGCGACTTGCGCTCGACGCCCGCCCCGCTAAGCGCAGCCTCGAACTGTCGCGAGGCGATGCTAAGAACTGGGCATGCGCAACGCATGGGAATCCCGGCATAGTCCTCAGCAGCAAAGGGAGCGGCGGAGGCAGGTGCCGGGGCAGCAGCCGACCCACTCGTCGACGCGCTCGACGACACTGAAGGTCCAGACGCGGTCCCCTTGCGCTCCCGAGGCGCCTTCGGTGGCTTCGATGCGCCCTGCTTATTTGCGGATGTCGCGGCGGTGGCCTTGACGTCCTTGCTCGCGCCCGCCTGTGCTTGGCCCTGCTGCTGATGCGCCGCCGCTTTCGCCGCGGCCGCAGCCTTCTTCGCTCC